ACTTTTGGAAGACCGTATTGTTCTCAGACGAATCAAGATTCGCTCAATTTTGGAAGGATATGGGTCTGGAGTATGCCTCACCAAGAGCTTTGGCTCAACAGATTGCAGCCAACTGTGAAGCATGGTGGTTTGGGGAGCTGTTTGGGTTGGTAAGAGATCATGCTTAGTAGAGTGCGTTGGCAACATAAATTTTGCGAAATACGTCGAAATATTGGAGGAAGGACTCATGCCACTGTATTCCTCGGGTTTCGTGGACAAGAACACAACGTTGTTCCAGGAAGATGGAGCACAGTGTCGCACTGCTAGACACACCCAAAAGCGGCAGGAAGAAAATGGTATCCAGAAGTTGCCCTGGCCGAGACAATCTCCTAACATGAACCCCATCGAAAACCTCTGGGCCATACTCGACTGGCAAGTCAAGAAACAACCAAAAAAACCAACTTTGAAGAGCGATCTACTCCAAGTTTTGAAGCAAGAGTGGGCGAAAATCCCACAATCTAAAATTGGCAAGATGATTCTCATGATGCCCAAAAGGATCAACAAACTCCATAAAGCGAAAGGAAGATCTACTAGATATTAATTAAATTATAAATATATCAATTCATGTGAATATGACTGAAAAACTTCATTTTTTCTGAAAAGGTGGTGTCTATTTACTTGTGACCACGCTGTGTATATATTTTAAGATTCAAAGAATCTGAAATTATATGAAACTGCTTTACTGGTTAAGACAAGTTAAAACTGATTCATAGCTTGAAACATTTTATAACAACATATTAATTCTAAAGATTAATTGAATTAAAACTACAAACTGATTTCAATACTGAATGAACTTAAATGTTAAAATAACTTTTCTTACTATAAAGCCTGTTAATACTGTGTTAAACACCTACCCTTTTCCGTCAATTCTTTTGGCAATCTTGGAAAGTTCTTCTTTGCTGAAACAGTCAGTTTCCTCTAGCACTGTCATCAGTTGCTCAGGCAAGCTCAAGTTGGGTACCCGAAGCACCGCTGTGAATGCTGTTAACATCTCCATTTCTTCTAAGACTGATTTCCGGCTAGTCGTGCAGAAGATTAACAATTTTCTTCCCTTGAAAATAAACAAAGACTACTATTGTGGATACCTCACATGTGATGAACTAGAAAAACAATTTTTTGATGCGATAGTCTTTCACAAATTAAATAAAAATTGCTTTCTTGAAACTGATTTGATGCAATAACTACTCCAAACTTGCAATTTAAAAAAAAATAATGTCCAGCTATTTTGTAAGCTGAAATATAATTATTAGTTTGGTTTACTGTTGAATTTATCTGGTATAGGATAAGGATTATCAATATATAGCTGTTCATGTTACTAAAAAACAGAGGATAAAAAAAGTTTTGGTAAATCACATTGAAAAAGAAACTGTAATGCTTCAAACAGGTAGACTTTTTATAGGCTAAAGCATAATAGGAAAAAAATCACATGCTTGTTAAAAATAAGGAGTAAGTCAAATATTAGAATTGTATTACTGAATTTAAAAGATGTAAAATAAAAAAGACAGCTAGATAAAGGTAGTAACTGAAAAGTCAAAAGTTAATATTAACTGAAAGAAATTATGTTAAAGGTCAAAGGTCATTCTTTATATATTTAGATTTAATAAGAATGATTTAATTTGTTTACAATGTCTTTTATTAGTTACAAGTTTATGTTTAATTTCGTATGAATTCATGTTACTGTCTGTTTTGTATATAGAAAAAGAAATATATATATATATAACAAATACTCAACTTTCAAATTGTTCTTTGTGCCCTAACATGTGACTTTAGCCCACACTGCCTAATCACATTTACTTTATGTTTTTCAACTTATGTTCACTCTTTACATTTCATTTCACCATTCAGAATTTACCCCTCAAAAAGACAGACCTACCTATCATAAGTGTTAGGGTTTTATTGTTTTTTTATGCGATATATAGCTGCTGGAAAAGTAGAAAACTGCTATGAGGAAACTGTACTTATCACTTTAGTGTTAATTTATGAGTAAATATACATAAACTTAAATATTATACACATTTGTTAAAACATACACAAAAGTTCAACATCTCTGGAAGAAACAAATAAAAAGTACAACTTTAATCTTTTTATTTCTTTCAAAGGAAAAATGTAATACATTTTATGATTAATGCTTCATTGTCAAATTATAACACTTTACACTAAAATATATTAGTTATACACTCCTTAAACCATAGTTTAAACTGCTTTTCAGCTTCATCTTGGATAACTTGAGTAACATGAAATAGTACAAAATGTAAGATATGTATAAAAATAACCAAACTCCCCATTTCAATTAGTTCACAGATAATTCAACCAAGTTTCACAATTTATGCAATGACTTAATAAATCTTGCTACCAAATGATCAACTGCTACAACAAAAGCTAAGAAAAGGAAGTGAAATAACTGACTAATTAATACCTCTACAGTATACAATTACTTGGTATCTTCGTGATTTAGTTTGAAAAATTAAAACAACAAACAAATACATGAATCATGACAAGTTTGTAGTATATTAATATATATTCTAACCATGTCTTTGTTTATATAATTAAAAGGAATACAATGCCAAAATAATTACGCAATAAATAATTTATAAAAAGCAGGGCCCAGCCCTAAAAATGCTTTACATGTTTTGGTGTTCTGAAGACGGTGGCCTAGAACATCAAAGCATGTAGTCTTTTTAGGCCTGGTCCCTGTTTTTGATAAATTATTTACTGCATAATTGTTTTAGCATTGTACTCCTTTTAATTGTTTATATATATATATATATTGCTCAAGTGCTTAAATTGTTTATTATCATGTGTGTTTGGAAGAAATAATACTAATGAATTATCAAAGCTGTTGATTACTGTCAATGTCTAATGGAATTAAGGCTTAAAAAATCATACATTTTAAGAATTCAAAAATGTTTAAAGCATCATAAAAAAGTTTTCTTTTGCCTTGTTTATCTAGAAATAGAATAATCAATGAAGAATACTTCAACAAACAAATACAGTATTTGATTTAATCCTATGATCTGGAGATTTTAAGTCTGGTAATAGTATTAAAAAGAACTGAAAATACCTTTGGTGGGTCTTTCTTCAACAATACAAGAAGAGCTTGAAGGACTAGATTAGAATAACGAGGACCAATTGGACCATAGTCTTCAAGTAGGAAGTAAAAAACAGTAAGTTGATTATTGTTTTTAAAACATTTGAAGTAATTTTCATACTTATTACAAATGCAGAAGACATTTTTACATACGAGAAGTACTACTACTACAGTTCGATTGTATGCAGCCAAATTTAAATTCAATTGAAACATACGTTCAAAAATGTTTGTAACTGTGTGATTTTTCACTAAAGAAATTTATCAATATTATTCCTTAGATTAAAGATGTTATTTTGAACAACCTCTACTTAACAAAGATCCAGAGGTTAGATCTAAAGATGTAAATTTTAGCACTACATTTGTAATAGATAAACATTAAAACTGTCATCTGAAATAACTCGTTTTACATGCTTGATGCTAGAAGTGGCCTAAAACATGAATTTGTGAACAGATCTGTATGTAACAGAAGTGCCAATAATAATGTTATTTATTTAAAATATCCAAATGTCAACTTTTATTTTAATTTTAAGGATTACATGACAATTTTAACTAAATTATTTAAGGTAATGCTATCAAACAAGATATGAAATTCAATAGCTCAATAATATATTAATTACACAAGCCTGTGATGATTTTATTGTCTTGAAATTTTTTCATGTTCTACAGTAATTGCTGTACACTGAATCTGAAAACGATATCCATTTTTCTCCATCACTAACAGATTTTCGACAAAATGTCATAAAAGACAACAACACACAGACTTGAGACTAAAAGATGTAGATTTCAGAAGAAAAATCAGGATGAATGAGGATGCATATTCGTTTGACATCAATGTTCTTCCCTTTTCTTCAGTTTGTTTGAATTTTTGTTAACAAACGTACTAATAAAAAATGTTCATTGTGGTAAACGAAATAATAATTTGATCTGATAAAGAGGTTTTTTTTTCTTCCCGATTTGTAAAAAATCGTTACGAGATAGAAAAAAATGAATATTATTTTTGAAATCTGTGTAGCTGAATTATGGAAAATTTGTTATTAGAACCAAAACAGCTTTTATGAAGTTAAATTCACAGGCCTGTGCTATCGCTAAATTTAACACTTGTGACTATAAAGGTTATAGACAAATCTCTATATAATGATATATAATCACAGTACACAGACAAGAGTACATGAACAAGGAAACATCGTTGCAGCACAGAATGCATATCAAGCTTAAACTTGTATCACTAATGATTAAGAATGATTTATAAATGTATATATTTGTTACATAGATAAATACATAATTAGACACACAGAAAACAAGAGCAGGTTTTATGTACTAGGCTGAATGAAGTCAAATTTAACTATAAATTGAGAAAACATTCTCAGAATTGAATCACTGAAAAGTTACATTTTTTTCAAATATGAATTTAATCCCTTAGGTGTTGATTTTATCTTACATGCTATTTTAATGTTAAGTATATTACAGTTTGAAAGTTCAACATTCACTTACCAAGCAATCTCTCAATGTTATCTACCAAAATACAGCTTTGTTGCGATTTGTAAGCGTCATCGAAAACCTGGAATTTTGTACTTACAAAATATATATCTCGTTCAATTTCACACATATAGATATCTTAAATGCACACAAAAAAACTTTATCATTTCTTTTAACAGTTTTCAAGTAAATGATTAAACTTAACACATTTAAGCTAAATTATCCCATAAAAAAACATAACCTGTGCATTTCTTACGAGAAATAAAACAAGTTCAAAATATTATAATAGATTATACAGAACTTACTGCCACAACAGTTCAAAATATACAGAAAATTAGAAATCTATTCACAGGTGGTATATAAATATCACAGTACCTAAGTGTTCCTCAATTACCCTTATAAACACTAATGTTAGAACTGAAATTTATTCAAACAATTGTCATGTATTTGGTTCTTTAATTCAAAACTTTTTCAAAAATTACTCTTTTTAAAATCATAATTTGTTGAAATACACCAAAAAGAATTACCAGAAAACAAGGACATAGTTTCTTTAGTCTGTTTTTCAAAAAATTAAAAAGTGTGCTATATTAAAGATACCCAAGCTATGGTTTTTAAGAGTATTAAAATTTGCAATATATATATACTGAGCTTATTAAATGATGATTTTATATACTTTGCTCCTCCATCAGTCTGTAAGCAGGAAATTGGCTATGGATGATGGAATTCAGCCAAACTTGAAATGTAGTTAAAACCAGTCATGATCTAGCATTCTTCTTTTTTGCTAAATGTGTTTTTTAACAAAGGCTTTTGTGTATATTGTACTCATTAAAGTTTTCGTAATGATTAAAGATGGATAAATAAATTCACAAAGAATGCATTAATTTTTAGTCAAAATGTATACTGTTGTAATATTGAGAAATTTCATGGTATAATTAATGTTCATTTCAACAGAAGCTAGCTGAATTTTATAATTTTTTGATAACATTCAGTTGGTAGAAGGACCAGAAATTGAGAGTTTTGAAAGGGTAAATCCAATTTCCATCCAAATATGTGATTAGTATTACATATCTATTTAATTGCAAGTTTTTAACCAACAAAACGAACTCATTACAAACCTTCTTGATAGCTTGACATTTGGCTGTTTCTGTGTAGCCAACCATGTCTTCTGGTGTGCAAAGCTTGACGAAAGGGAAATCTGACTTCAGAGCTAACTTAGCTCCTAAAGCTGTCTTACCACTGTTGGGTGGACCTGTAAGTGAATGAATTTAGCAATGACATGGTTTCTCAGTAAAGCTGCAAGTAGATTAAGTAAGACTAAAACATTAAAATATTCTTAAACTACAAACAAAATGTGACAAACATAATAAATAAGCTAGTTCCTTTCATTTCCTGACACAGGCTTTAATTTTATAGATACATATGATTATTTTATCTTTTGTTCATAATAACGATTTCCCCCAAAATACCAAATACAATTGTTTTCCAACTCCAATAATTACTGTATAGTGAAAAACCTTTGATATCTGTTTGTGATATTAACAATTATAAAAAAAGTTAAACCATTTGACACACTGCCTATTAAGGTATATTGATAGCTTACATCTTGTATATGACAAAAATACAGTACTTAATATTTGAAAAAAAAAAATTATAAAGTGTACATAAAATACTGAATTCCCTACTTAAATTACTAACTACTTGACCAATAGCACAATAAAATTTGATTTCTACTTTTCTTACCTTCAATTAACACACTCACAACACCACGAGAATCGAGTGACCTTGCCTGCTGGATAAAGAGTTCTCCATCCTCTAGAACTGATGTAATATCTGTGCTCCACTGGACAATACCTTGTGTTACAAGATGTTCAATTTGTTCAGCACTTGTACCAAATGCCTGAAATAAATGATATTACACATTGAAGAATCCCTAACATATTATACTTGACAAAGTTCTGCTGAGAATTTACTTTTTTTTGATACCAAAAAATCTTTTAAAAATAATGTAACATATTTTTCTATTATAACAATGAAATGATACATAAATACAAAGAAAAATGTTAGATAATAAAAAAAGAAGAAAAAATCAACAGTATGGCACAACTGATAAAAATATTTTTGTGGGAAGTTAACTTTCTTAATATATTCTAGTCAATGAAACTTTAGACTCATACAACTGGTTAAAGTCAGAATTCTTTCTAGATGGATAATAATCAATACCGTTCAGTCATCTTCATCTCTTTTACATCATAAATTATTCTAATGGCACTAAATGATTAGGTCATCAAGAAATTAATGTTGCTTTTATTTAGATGAAAAAACCCAAACAACTTATATATCAAATCAAAAAATTTATTA